CTCTTCTCTTCCTACAACTGCTTTATTAGACACTTTTGTTAATTTTATGTGTTTGCATGATTGCTTAGAAAGATTCCATCTGGATATATATGGATGTTTTCTGGTTTTAATTTCAGTCAGTTCTATTTTTATGCTTTCTTTTTCAACTTTTTGACTGATCAGTTGTTGTTGTGTTGTTTTTGTTTTGCAACCTCCCCTCTTACCCCCTCTCGGGTTGTATCCAGGCCATTCCCCCTCCCAGCAGTGCCACACCCTGCTCCTCCGCCGGCCCAACCCCTGCCCCATTGCCTCAGCCAACGGACACCCATACCCCCCCTCTAAAGTCCTCCCCCTGCATCTGCATATGCCTCCTCCTCCACCCCTCCATTCCGGCACACATTCCCTCCCTCCTTTCTCCTCTTTTGGTTATGTTCCTCTTCCCATATCTCCTCCTTCTCTGTCTACTCCTCCTCTGTCCATTTCTCCTCCTCTCTCCACTCCTCAGGAGCAGCAAAGTCAGACAGGTACATACTATAAACCACAGATAAGCATCCTTTCTTTTTTATGCTCTTTGGACAGAAAACTCATGGATTGTCAGCTGTTGCCTGGGTTAGTTAAAGCTCCAGTTACTCAGATGGCGAAAAAACAAACTTTCCCACACCAGTGTTTTGGCATTTTATTTTAAACCTTAAAATAGATAAGTGTTTAGTTTTAATGCTACAGCTAAAGTTTTTTTGTTTTATTTTTTAATACAGTGTAAGAAAGTCAGTCCCAGTTCTTTGTATAAGTAATCTGTGTGAACTGATCCTTTAAGAGAAAGATTCTATTAATATTTGTTAGTTCATATGATAAACAGTGCTGTGCAAAAGTTTTGTGTAATGTTAAATTTTTTCCTGTGTTCCTTCTAAGCAGTCAGTGTTTCCTGTATTATGTAAAACTGCTCTTCAGGATTTCAGAGGGGATTTTACCGAGCTTCTCACCCTATCGCTAAGGGAGAGCCCAGACACCCAACGGAGAAAACTCATTTCGGCCGCTTGTATCCGTGTCCTTTTTTTTTTTTACAGTCATGACCCAAAAACTCATGATAAATCGAGAGCTTCACTTTTTGACTCAGCTCTCTCTTCACCATGACGGACCGGTACAGCGCCTGCTTCACTGCAGACGCTGCACCAATCCGTCTGTCAATCTCCCACTCCATTTTTCCCTCATTCGTGGACAAGATCCCCAGATACTCGGACTCCTCCACTTGGGGCAGGACATTCCCCCAGGATGACCCAGAGAACGCACTCTACCCTTTTCCAATTCCTTGGATTTGGAGGCACTGATCCTCAGGGCCTTGCAGAGACCACTAAAGGGGCAGGTGCTCAAAAAAAAAAAAAAGGGCACATCTAACCGCATTTTAGGACAGAATATTAAAGCCACACAGTTTTTAGAGTTCAATAAAACAATGATAAATTACAAAACTTTGTCATTTTGCAATCAAAGTTAAGGAAAATCTCTATATAGAGCATGTAACTATGCATATGTAAGATATTTTATTAGTAATTTCTTTCTGCAGGTCTATTTTGTTATAGGAAAGTATTG